CAACGACGTTTGTGGAACCAGTTAAAAACGCATCAAAGACTCAATTATTAAAAACTTCCAAAGCGCCAGAGACAACAACAAAATCAACTTTTATTAAATCTACTTTTCCACTGAAAATAGACTTAACAGAATCACCTGAAAAGACAAACACTTCGCTTCGCAATGAAATTATTACAATTTCACCTACAATATCACCGACACAAGCAAAATCGGTGAAAAATAAGTCCAACACTTCAATTACAAACGGCGATGCTAAAATAGAACAACAACCTGATAATGGTACAACTCCGGTTGCTAATGAAAAAAGTGGCAAAACGACTGAAGAGCGACTGCCGCTCACCAGTGATTATGAGGAGTTGTTAAAGGTGTGCCGCGAGGCGGATACGTCGGCGGATATGGAAAAGCTTGTCAAGACGAAATTAATCAAATATTATTATAACGTCCATCCCGATTTCGTGCGTTCTAAAGGCTTTGGCAAGAATTTGCGTACGGTGATAACAAATATACAAGAAGAACCGGATTTAGTGTATTTGCACCTAAAGACAATAGTTGATGAGCTAAAAGTACGTAGTAAGAATAAGGAAACGTTGCTGGAGGTGTCGGTAAAAGACGAAGAGAAAAGTGGTAGCCCAAGTGGTGAGAAGGATAAAGAAAAAGACACTGCTGTTGGCTGCGAGGATAGTGAGCCACCTGTTGAAGACATTAGCAGTACTGGCAATAAACATACCGATGAGCAGATCAAGAAGTTGAATAAAGCGTTGTATATACTTACAAAGCGTATTGAGGTATTAGAGTCTGCTGAGGTGGATTGGGATGAAGAAGATTCCAGTTATCTGCAAGTGGAGCGTTTCAAAAAACGCGCATGTCAGGTATGAAGTATAATATATTGCAAAGTAGAGTAAGTTCACTTTTTGCCACGAAGATTATGCTATAACGCACAAAAAGGAAACGTCAGAGACCCTATTAATTATGTATGTATAAAGATTTTTCTGATTTACTATAGCATATAGCTGACATATAAACTGATCAATCAGACTCAATTTTTTGTATAGAAAACTTTTTTTATATAAAAAGATATCTCAAGGAAATTTTGCAAAGATTATTTTATATGAGGCAGCGCTACAATCTCCGCGCAAAATGTTCAGATTAGACCACTACATCATATAGTTGAAATACAAACTGACCGATCAAAATCGATTTCTTACATGAAAACTTTTTTATTCATAAAATATATAATATATAATAAATAATAATAATTGTTACCATTACATTGTAATCTCTAGATATACGAGAAAATTTGTGATCTTACCGGTGAGAGCAAGAATGCACATCGTTTGGTAAAAAAGCCCATACATTTTAATGGCACAACGTATACGCAGTTCAATAAGACATTGCAGGCGTACATAAATCGCACGAAGGAGTTTCCCGATTATTTCGACGTACTTCGTATGCTCGAGCACTGCAATAGGCAGTATGACTATGCTTTGGCAAATTTCGAAATGAAGCGCATCGGTGAGTCCCCGTCGGTGTTGCAGCCGTAAGCCGTGTAATACTTGTGTTATTGTTTATAAATTATTTTAAAAAGTGGGAAAATAAAATAACGCATTTTTTATTATTGTTTATTATGTTTATTTTTTTTTTTTCGTAAAGCGCATGATGCCTTCGTAAAGGTTGGAAAGTTGTTGCAGTCGCGTCGTAAAACTGATCTCTATGAGACCGTAACACATTTTACAGCACACGAAAAGGATCCGGCCACTATTGATGCATCACTGCAAGCAAAACTAAGTGAGAATCAAAAGAAACGAACACGCATAAGTGACGTCATTGAAAAGTAAGTTGAATATTTTGTATTTTTCTATACAATAACCGTAAAGTTTATTAAAAATTATGCATTTTTTTTATATACTTACAGATATGCGCGTGAACAAGATATGATCAAGGAGGAATTAAAGGAAGCACGTCAGGCAAAAGTTGCGAAGGTCCTAACGAATGAGGATAATGCTGAGGATGACGATGCGGTTGCTAGCACCAGTGCCAATGCGGCGAAAATTGCGGCGTTGCGGAAAAGCAAACACAAAAACGAAAGTGGCGATATTTTAAGTAATAAAGATGGGAGAAAAGACAATGATGACACATTAGATACTGATGAAGACGATGATGATGATGATGAAGATGAGGAGGACGATGAAGAACAAGTGAATGGTAGTGATTTAGAGGCCGATGTAGAGAAGCTAGCTAATGGTATACTGTCAGACGTTGAATCTGATATTGAAATTGTTATAAACAGTTCCACAGAAGAAGCGAAAGAAGAAGTTGAGGAAGATTCTAAAGGACCAGTTAACAAAATTACAACGGAACCTTCACCAACTGATGATGCGGCGAGTACAAAAACGAAAACTGTAGCTAAAGCAGATTTGGTGAACATACAAAAAGCTGTCACAGTTACAAAAACTGTTAGAGAAAGCTCCGCAGCAATACAAACAAATTATACTGTAAATAACAATTTGGTGAGACAAAAGACTGCAGATCCATTAGCCAACGATCAACAAAAGGCCACCATCAATTCAACTATGGCAACAAAGGACATTGATAGCAGACAAACGACGATAGCCATTGCAAATGGGCGTACAAAGCTTGATGTCACACAAAGCAACGCCAATAATCCTACAGCAATAGCGCAAGCAGCAACTATAAAAATTGTTTCCGTTTCCAGCTTAAAAAATGTAAATATTATGGATACTGAAGGCAGTAGTATAGTTAGAAAGGAGACAAATTGCACTACGGTGCAGACGAAAACCCCAAACACAACAGTGAAAGAAATAAAAAAACAACGCACAGTGGCAGAAATAGTAATTTCCGATGAGGAATCGTAGTTATGGCTGAAAGCGTTGCAACAACTTACTTAAGTTGATTGCACAAAAGCTACTAAATATATTGTGTGTGTGTATATATAGAGGGCATAGTAGCATAGCTATTGTTTAACATTAAGGTGAAATTAATTTATTTAATTTGCAAACCAAATAGTTTACAGCGCTACTCTCATGTAGAAATCTAACTTAGCCGATTTGTACAATGGTGTACATTTTTAAGAACAACTTAAACTAAACATAATTCCAAAAACTTGCTATCCCAATTAATTCTAGTTATTCAACTTTTATTAATTCATTTGAATATGTACTTTGCCATACCTGCAATATATCTTGCAACTCGAATTACTTTTTTTTTTTGTGCGAAAGTTGCTAAATATCTCTTTCGAAGCGCGGAACCGTATACTTACTATATATATGTAGGTTGTAAATAGACTTTAGGATCACACATATACATACATACGTATACTTTTGTTAAACAATTTTTTATATAAAGAAATCGTGACATATTTATTTATTTCACTTAATTAAGCTGTTTTCGTGATAGGCCTGAGCAAAAAAAATTATATATTTTTACAGAATTCGAACGTACTCAATTTTGCATTTGTTATTGCTATTATACTTTTTCATAATAATATAGTAGCGATCATGTGCGGTGTGGATATGTTTGTTACATTTGACACATCCATCTTTATATTGCGCGTAGGCACTAAAAATGTAACTGAAAAATTAAATTTGGCAAAAATTTGGCAGTTATGTCCATACTAATGTAACAATAACAAAAAAAAATTTTTTAACTGTAAATTGTAAATTAACGTAAAAATTTAAGTAATTAATCATAAATTAAAAGAGAAAACAAACACATTAAAATAATATGCAGTGAGAATGCAGGTGCCGAGCGAACAAGTGTTAAGTAAATGTATTCTCTATGTCTAAATATAACTACAAATTATTTGTACGTCAAACATAATCTACTATATACTTTAATGTGTCTAACATGTATTAGTTATAATTAATATGTATAAAGAAAGCATATATTTTTTAAAATCTCTTTAGGCCTAAGCACATTTGATCGTATGCGTAATTATTTCAAACACTAAACGGCAATAAATTTTAAGAATTTATATATACAATATAGATATTTAAATTGTTTTACTTTTCAACAGTAAATTCCAATTATTTGCAATAAAAGCAAAGAATAACATTTACTTCGGCTGCACCAATAAGAGGCTCGACAGTTGCATTTCTTAAAACATCAAAAGCTCTTTCATGTATAGTGGCCCGAACTGTACAATTTGTTCCGAAATTGCAATGTTGAACTGCACAATAATCTGTGCAAAATTTGTTGAAGATGTCTAGTCAAATAAAAAATTGTTTCCTACGAGCACTTAATTTTGAGCAGTTAGTTTGTATTGCAGCTATATCATATAGTGATGCGATATTGGCAAATGATCGGCTTCTTGGTCAAAAAACGATAGCGCAAAATTTCAGTTCAATATCTAAAAAATTAGGGAGTAGTTTTCATAAATACAGACAAACACGGCCAAATCGATTCAGTTGATCACTGTATACTCTTCATAGGGTATAAAAATAAAAATTGTCGCCAAATTTTAACAGATAATGCAAAAACCGGTATGATAAGAAAAATATACATATGTATGTATATGTATATGTATGTGGCCGCATCAACTATGCATATGTATATGGTAATTTTACACCAGTCATGCATTCTATCGTTCCTGAGATTTGTGTCTGTCTGGCAAAGAATCTACAAATCGTTATTTAAAATGCAAAACAACGTATCATCATTCGAAATTGAGTTTCTATTGCTTACGATCCACTACATATGTATATGTATGTAAATATTATAAACGTTTAAGCTTCCACTCTCCCATATATCCAATATCTAACAATTTTATAACCAAAACACATATTTTGTTTCAATATGAGTGGTTTCTATTATATCGTTTTTACTTCACTTGTAAATTTATGAAAAGTGATGTTACGTTATTTTGCATTTTAGATGTTGATATGCATGTGTATATATATGCATGCTTTGACTACAACTATGTGTATGTAGTAAATTTGCACCAAACATGCACTCTAAGCATATATGCTTAGATTGATAAGGCTTCTTTAAAGATTTCAGAAATTTTAAGAGCATTATTAAGTAGTGACTGCAGCTGGTGTAACAATTAGAAATGTATACAATAAATGGTGGTGGTGAAAGAAATGCAATTGATTTGAGTAAGGAATATTCACCCACAAAGAATTCAAAGCGTTTTTTAGAAGCCGAGGAGCCTGATAAAGCAGTAATCGAGCATTTTCTAAAGGTCACAACGGAGCGTGGGTGCTTTGATTATATACTTATAATCCATATATAGTCAAAACTTTTATTTTTAGAAACTGAATCGGCACTCGCAAAATATAAAGTTCGCCGTGATGTTTCTTATGGAAAGAGCTTTAAAAGCAATAAAAACAGTACAGTAGATAACCGAATTGTAGACATATATTATAAGGATACGGAAAACGGTATGATATGAAGAAAAAATATATGAATTATACTAATCTTACTTTTTTATGTGTACATACATATGTATGTATGTATACAGGGACACCAATTTTCGTTTATATACACGGTGGCTACTGGCAAGAATTGGATAGAAGTACTTCTGGTTCTTTCGTAGAACCTTTAGTGGAACAAGACTTTCGTGTAATTGCAGTTGATTACAATTTATGCCCCTCCGTGTCACTCGCCACACTTAACGAACAATTTAAACACTTCTTTGAGTGGTTGTACGCATATGCAAGCGATACTAAAGCGAGGTATCTTAAAATGAAAATTTGTTCACTTTTAACTTGTTATTTAAATTTTCAGTAAAATATCAATAAGTGGTCATTCAGCTGGTGCCTACATGATGACGCTATTGTTCAATAACAGCTTACTAAGATTACCTTTTGTTGACAATACGGTGTCGTTTTTCTTGATCAGTGGCGTTTTTGATTTACGTGAATTATGGAATTTGCCAAGCGTTAACCCGGCGAACATATTGAACTTGGATTTAGTAAGCGCCGAAGAACTCTCACCAATTTGTTGGAAATTGGATGAAGAATTCATCGAGTTAGCGAAACAAATACAAATACGTATACACGTTTTAGTAGCGGAAAATGACAGTGAAACATTTAAAGGACAGTCTCTAGCATTTACAAAGAAATTGAGAGAGACTGGTCTAGAAATCGAATTTAAATTATTTGAGGGCTATGATCATTTTGATATAATAGAAAATGTGCCTGTGAAAGGTTCAGAGATAAATACATACTTACTAAAACATTTAGTGTAGTAAATAACTGAAGGCGATGTATAATAGAAAACTCCACAATAAAAACAAAATCAAATTAAAAGTTAGTGTAAGCATCTTCATTCTTGCTCTGGCTTTACGTTTTATTTAACAATTATCTAAAAATATGAAGATCACAAGCCAGTAAATTTAGCAAAAACTAATTTCCAAGGAAATATCTTTATTTGTAATTACAAAGATCTTTTTGGGTTAATTTTTTTTATTTAATTGATTTAAAACATATTGTGCATAACTTTGTATAAGCATAGTAATAGATATATGTATATGTCTATATATTCAGCAAAAACAAATTATTATACACCCTGTTTTAAAATGTGCCATGATTGTGAATAGCCAATTTGAATTGACACTACATTGACATTGTTTTTGTTACACGTCATTTGGGACCAAATTATATTGAACACCGAAAAATAATAAATTTTCATTAATATTCAAAACAATTATTACCATAATGAGCAAAGCAGTGCAAAACGAAGAAGACACCAATTCTACATTATTTTACGCACGAAATGAATACTATATCGGAAATTTTATGGGCTCTATTAACTTTGTGCTTCCCGAACAAGGTACTGCCACCATAGAGCTACTCTCGTATATGTACCTCTCATACTTGGCTATCGATTCTGGCCGCCTCATCGCAACTGATATAAAGGAGAATAACAGCACTGCTTTACTAGCATTACGTTATGTGAATGAAGCCTTTGAACAGCCTGCAAAAATTGAAAGCATACTTGACAAGCTAACTGATAAAGTTGCTAGCGAAGAGGATGAAACTAATATTTGGCATATCGCCACCGCCATTGTTTATTGCTATGATGGACAATTTGAAAATGCCTTAAAAATTTTACATGGATCAACAAACCTTGAGTCAATGGCTTTATCTGTACAATGTTTATTGAGATTGAATCGTATTGATTTGGCAAAACAACTGGTAGCTAAAATGCAAGAAATCTCAGATGACGCCACCTTAACACAGCTGGCTCAAGCATGGATTGCACTAAGCCTTGGCACTGAACAGATGCAAGATGCATTCCATATTTTTCAAGAATTTTGTGAAAAACATAATCCAACACCATTGCTTCTAAATGGTCAGGCAGTCGTCCACTTGGGTTTGGAACGGTATGAAGAAGCAGAAGCTGTTTTACGTGATGCTTTGACTAAAAAGCACAATGATTACGATACACTAATCAACATGATGGTGCTGGCCCACTTGACTGGAAAGTCGCATGAAACGATTGCTCGTTATTGGGAACAATTGAAACAATTTCATCCAAAAAGTGAATTTGTTACCGATTTAGAAAAGAAGTCAACAGAATTCGATAAACTTTGTTTACAGTATTCACTGAGTGGAGACGAAGCTGTGCAAGCATAAAATTATTAAACTTAAACTATTACTCTAATCGTACTTGTATGCATTTCAAATAAAAAATAAAGTAGTAATCATTTTAGATGAATTCACATTTTTATTCTTTGATTTGAGGTATATTATATGTCTGTTTGCTAAATTTATATATTTTGTGGATTAAAGTATAAAATATAGGAAATTATAATATCCAATGCTAATAGCTGAAAATAAAACATTAAAAAATACGTTAGTAATGAAGGAAGAATTTAAAAATGTAACTACACATACTTTTGCTTAAAACCATATTTTTTCCTTTCGTAGAACAGATCTGTTTTAGAGCTTCCAAGATTTACAATTTTGGGACAACCATCGCGCTAAAAAATTGTTATTGTATTGCATGTTAAATTCCACGTATGTATGAACACTTACGTCTTTTTCCTGTATTGTGCACTCTTTACAATAATAAGCATCGGAAACACCTGGTCCGCCACAAATAACACAACGCCCCTGATAAGATCCGTAATTACATTCATCGCAAATACGTACTAATGTGCATGGTCGAACATAGGAATCACAAATAACACATTTGCCATCACATTTTTCGCACAATCGGCCGATAGCTATATATTTAAATAAACATTACAAAACTTAAAATCTTTAAAAATTTAAAACTTACCAACTCCAGGTTGCTTACGACAAAAGATTAAATCTGGATGATGTTTAGCCATTTATTTAATTTTAATAGACCTAATATATTTGTTTACCTTTAGCGGTTGGAATTGAGTGTATAATAAAAAGGTTGCAGGTTGCTACAAAAGTTGCTAGTGAAACGATTGTAAATGGAACACAAAAGAAGGTGTATTTCTTCCAAAACATTCTTCTCAGGAAACGTTTATATTTTTATATACTAATTTATTTTTTAAAGATACATTAACAGTGAAAGAGATAACTTTCTTCCTAGGCAAAGATTAGTTAACACTAGTAAAACTATATATACATTTATATTAATATTTTGATTTCGTATCTAACCAAAAAGTTATTCCGAACAAGTCAGTTGCTACAACATATATTCACCTTAAAATTTTTCCTGCGGAACAGGCATTTATTTAAATTCATTCACTTATACTTAAAGCCATATACATAACTTTTGTTCAGTAAGTAAGCAAGTAAGTATTTATATTAAATAGGAAAATATTTAATTGTACGTGTTTGAATAAAACGATTTGAAATCCACTCATACAAGTGTCAAATCTATAATTTGTTTTTGTGTTCGTCTATAAGTATCACAATTTGAAGGTTTACTACATAAACTAATAATACTTTTGTGATCAAAAAGTAATAAAGCTATATTTTTGCTTTCGCTTTAAATAATCAAATAGTAAAATTATATTCTAGTTAGTAACGCAGATTATTTATTTTATATTGTGCACTAACAATATTAAAATATTGCAAAAGTATGTAAGCTGCTCACACATACTTCATCTTTCCAGATGCTACTTTCGATCAATACTTCACACTCGTGATAACTAAAAAGTTGAAATTAAGTAATTTATCCGCGTTATAAATAACGGTTCATATAATATTTTCTTTAATCATATTTAGAGGAATTAGCACCCAGTATAGAACGAATTGAACTGGTTGGTGAGCCACTGTCAGTGACCGTCTCCAAACCATTACCGCCCTTATAAGGCCGTGATAAACAATTGTTGATAAATGAACATACGCAATGGATGTACTGTGACGGATATTTTGTAAAAATTTTTACATGTTCGGCATCTTCAAAACATGCAGCTGATACATCCACACCACGCTCTTGTCGTATTTTAATAAATTTTTCAATGTCCTGCATTCAAAAATTCGTATAAAATTATTATTATATAAAAAATTAGATTGATGTGAAATACGTACCTGATAAGGAATCACTACGTCTCCCTTTGAATAAACAAACAATTGTGGAAATTGTGTGGCCTCGTTTTTCAAATCGCTAAAGGGATTTGTTTGTACCGGTTCAGATTTGAAAAACAAACTTTTAAAAGCGGCAAACGTTTCCTAGTAAATATTATATTTTATAAATCATGATAGCATAATATTTGCAGTTATTTAAACCAGAAAAATGCCGTGCTCGTGTGTTTAGCCTACTCACCTCAACAAACCACATAATGCTTAAAGTTAAAGTTATAATTAGTGCCGTTACAGAATGGCATTTCTTCCGCTCTTTTCCATAAATTGCTGTCACAGCACGATATAAGCCCAAAATGCGACGCTCACCAGGTGCAGAATCAAAAATCATGCCACGTATTTGTATGGGCGTCTTATGTTTACGCATAGCTAACGATATGTGTTGATAAAGGTAAGCGCCGCCATTCGAAAATATATGCACAATCACCGGATGTGAATCAAAATTCATATCATACATTAGTTTCAGTATTTTTTCACCAATAGGAATCATTGCGGTGCGTTTCCAAAAGAGCGTATCCACTGGAGCCGTATAACGAACGGTAATTAAGCTAAAAGGAAATTCATTTTGTGAGTGAAATAAAACTCGAAAGGTGAGCTAAATAGAGTTTATATTAATAAATTAATAAATTGGCCGCAACAAAATAAATTGATGTAATTATTATGTACAGAAAACGAATGTAGGTATAGTAATTAACTTAAGAACTTAAGTGTTGGGAGATCGAGAACAACTCCCATATGCCTGAAGGCAGTTCGCGGGGTTTCGGAACTTTGCAACATTTTTTTTTTGCAGATTTTTTCTTCCAATAACATGTTACCATTATGAATTAATATTATTTCATAACAATATTGCATGTAATTTGATAATTTACAATTATGTATGTTCCGGCATGTTGTTGTTGTTGTAACGATTATCAGTCCCCGTTGGGATGGTGAGGGTTATCAGTGTTGTCGTCGATGTCATCTAACGGGATATGTTCCGGCATACTTCTCAGCGTTCAAACCAATTAAAAAAAAATTCTAGATTCACATCAATGTTTTTCAGTATGCTCCAAATGATCATTATCAAATTATCATATTCATATGTACAAACGTACTCGAGTACATGAGACGTCATCAAAAAATATATATACATATGGTAAAAGAAATAAACAACATATAATAAAATAATGAATATAATGAATGTTTGACATTCTAAGTGCGAAATATAGGAAATCTCCCCATCTCATCACTTACCCACGGTCTTCATATATCTTCGAATATTTCATTAGGTAACGATCCTGACAGCCGGCCCAACCGAGCAACATGACGATAGGAACATTTGAATCATTGTATACAAATACGAAGTCCGAATCGCCCGTATCCATTGCATCGCTGCGATAATTTGGTGTGGGAAATTTGATGAAATACTCCAAATTATCCTCATTCTGTATAGCGTCACTATATTGTTGTTGCTGCTGTTGTTGCCGTTGAGCCACCTGCGAGCGCTTTGGTGAAGCATTTTCTTTACGTTGTGATTGCTGTTGATTTTGAGAATTATATTGATTTGCGGGCATAATGCGTTTATTCGGTGCAGCAGAATCCAGACGTCGGATAGTGGATGCACCTCCTTTTTGCTTGGCACCTTCCATGGGTGGTATTGTTGGGTTTGTTGAGGCAGCAGTGACAGCGGCGACTGCCGGCACACCATACGAATGATTAAAAGAATTCTGTGCGGCCATTCTTGTTTCTTATATAGATGATTTCTAATAACTTTTAAGTACACTGTAATTCGGTTGATAAATTGTTTTGGAATTTTCTTTTTTGGCAAGAGACCACAAATTTTCTTACTTTATTTTTCAGTTGCAATATATATTTTGCAATTAGTACTGAAAGGAAAAAAAAAAGTTTGGAAATTAAAAGTTTTATATTTGACATAAAAAACGTTTATGTACATATGTATTCATATTTTATGTACTATACATAAATAAAATTAGCTAGCACTTTATTGATAGAAATATTAATACAAACGTACGATTTAGTTACATATATCTTCATTTAAATATATTTACCTAGTCGAACTTTTAGCTTTAAGATTATTTAAATATTTCTATTCAAATTGTTTAAACGATTTCTTTTATTGATTTTAATAATATATGCTTGTTTTGAAATTGAAGTTACGTTATGGCAAAACGTGTAGCGTTTTTCCTTTTCTAAATCAATTATTACTCAATCATTCGATTCCAGGTAATTTCGATTTTCCGCAGCGTCGTTGCAATTTCACATAGCCTACTTTTAGGAGGCAGCAAACACAAATTTGTAGTTGCTAAGTTTATATTTCCCGTTAGTTCCGTATCCTGGGATACTTTTTTTTTTTTTAAATTTTAATAAATTGTCTTCGAAATATCCTCGCATTAACTTAACCTTACACTTTCGCCGCAAATATTAAATATTCACTAAACGTCTGCATCAATTTAAGTCCTGCAAGTGTATGTGAATAATCTTGACCTTCTTACTGTCAAACTTCTTCACCCCTTTCAAACCCACATCCCATTAGAAAGCCGACAGTTATTGCTGCCACACAATCACCACATATAATAAATAACTTTTTGGGCAGAGTTGAAATTATTTATTTTTCCCATTACATACCCCCAAATTAACTTTTGAATTACCTTTTTTTAATGCTCACTAAACAGCGTTCATTAGCACATACATATATGTATGTATATATAAGTTACAATTATTTATAAATCTACATAAATATATATACTTTGATTTAGATCTAGCGTATGTGTGTGTGAATAAGACTACCTAAAACCGCTACCAATAATGAAATTATTAACTTGCTTACGTGGTTTTGGACAAAATTCCTGTCACCATTATCACCAAGGTAGCAGTGTAGCTGTGAATCAGAAATGTGTTGACTGTGTCGACACCTACTAACTATATTGAAATAAAACAATTAGACGAACAACAACTCCAATCATGTTTTGTGAATTCGTCATATGGGGGCATATGTAAATAGTGAAACATAAATTATTGCACATGCGCCAAAAGTAGTAATTCATTGAAGTTTCCATGACATTCGTAAAACTTACCAAGGAAAAAAATAGCTTTGGTTGGCCCATATGCACATGCATACTCAGTTAGTTCTTATGATAACAAAATAGTATATACTATAACATTACACGCGGAAAACAAACTTAAAAGCTGTAACTTATCCCTTCTAAAGCAGCCAATAACAAACTTAGACTATCGTTTCTCCGGGATATTTATTTTAAAAAAATCTTATGAGAATTGCTAAAAGTAACGAATGTTAATAAAATTTTACTTTTATATTTAGAAACCATTTTATATAATTTTTATTACTTTAGATACCTCTTAAAGTGTAAATCCACATACAATACCACGATTAAGCATTTATGTCAAAGTATTTGCATTCACCATTTAATATTAAGTGCAGTATTCATTTTTTCCACGGCATGGTAGCTGGTGTGTAATAACATTTTCGCTTTGTCAGTGTGTGCACCATCGAAGAATTTATTGTAAATTTGCCTTGTATCTTCATTTTCTGGTCTAGATTTCGGCAACTGTTTGTAAAGCTCTTCTAACTGTTGATTCAATTCATGTATTGGAACGCCTGTGGGTGGTCGCACTTGTGCACCACCATTAATACAACCTAAAATGAAATGAGAATTTATAAATTATTTAAAATAAACATGTTAAATAAATAAATCTTACCAGAAGGACAGGCCATGACCTCGACGAAATCGTATGGCGCTTTTCCACGTTTAAGTTTTTGTACCAAATTTTGTATGTTGCGGAAACCATTAGCAATGGCAAACTTAAGTACTACCTGACCATCATGTTGTAAGGAAATTTCACGAAAATCTGGATTTCTAATATTTAAGGCAAACAAATTTTAATCTATATACTAATTTTTGGCATTAATTTAATAACATACCTCAAATTTTTATACTCCAGTACTTCCACATCTTCATCAAAGAGTTCTTTAGCAGCGTATTTAAAGACGTGGTCTGCATATCCACCTGAAGTGGAAAATTCGTGCGCCCATACTGAAGCTTCTGGCGTCCTAGAGTACCATGGCCAGTCAATTTCTAATGGTGTATACATATCCAACGGTGTATCAGCACTTACAAGCATTTGCTCAATTTCAACTGAAAACAATCAAAAATTTAATATAAAAATGTTTTTAATACATTGACATGTATAAAAATGAGATTATTTGATTCACTTACTTGACGTAATAACGCAATCCACATCACGCGAGTTGTTTGCATCACTGTAGAAGTCCTCGCGTGAAGCTTCCAACTTCTTGTCATAGCATGGCATTACTGTTACATGATATATTCGCTCTGCCGCACAATCTAATTTTCTTGCTAACCATTGTTTCACCAGAACCCCCATTATTTGCTGCGGCGAACGGGTGGTAGCAATATAAGGCAAAATGAAATTACCATGCGTTTTCTCTGCATAACAAACCCAACCCGGACAAGAAGACGAAAGCATTGGCAGAGGTGTTACTGCGGCTGTGTCCCCGCTTTTGGAGTCACGAAAACGCTCGACGAATTCGTTACGACACTCAAGCAAAGCTAGGTCGTCTGCAATTTTTGTGTTCAGCACATAATCCGCACCCAGCGAGCGGAAATAGCCACTTAAATGTTTGGCGGCTTCCGCCGGATTTAAGTTGTAACGATGGGCTAAGCTAATTACAGGCTGTGGTGAAATTGTTACAACAATGGTACTCACGCTTTCGCTGGCATTTTGGTTTTTTAATGCTTTATTTTCCTGGAGCACTCTTAATAGTTCCTCTTGACTTTGTTGGGTAATAAGTACACCTTCGGCTGATGTGATACAACCGGAGCAAGCGAGACAATCCTGCAGTGTTATTTCTACTTTTTGCAGTTTTTGCTTACCAGTCTGTAGCAAATAAAATATAATATATAGATAAACGAAAATGAAAAGTCTTATATACATACCTCAGTTTCTTCATAATAACCATCGCCCTGTATGGTAATTTTAGCACCAGTTTTCGACTTGGTCTTTTCTATGGGAACTGGCTTGACGCATTCCTGTTATTTGTTATATTTGTCAAGATTTTTTTTTTTTTAAATAAGGATATGTTAATTAAATATTCTTGCCTGTGAAGGAGTAATGAAATCATCCAGATCAGTTAATTGTAGCGCTCCACTGAAACGCGACATCCTTTCACTGTGTTTATCAGTAGACAGTCGGGAAGTTACAGCAAATTACCTAGCTCTTATCGTCAGCTGTTTTCCATATGACCAACAGGGTGGCCAGAGCTGTTATTGCGCCTATATGTATGCGTAAAATACGTTAATAAAAATTAGGAAAAAAATAAAAATAATGTAATTTTAATACTTAAAAAATATAACCTACAAAATCAGTTAAAAAAATAAAATCACTCTATATTCTTTCATATTTTTTTAAAATTACTCAAACTATTACAGTTCTGCAGGCACTGGACAAACTATTTACACATACACTACACATGCACATATGTAGTCTATTAAGTTTGTAACTATTGTAGAATAGCAAATCACTTGAAAACACTCTAAACTGCCATAAAAATGACGACAAGTTCTTTGAGACAGAGAAACAATGGAAATAAGCAAAAGGTGGATCAAAATGTTAGCCCTACCACGAATGGTGGCACTACAAATCTTCAGAGTAAACTGTAAGTTTTTATTTAATACGTTAGTATATTAAAATATTTATTGATTTTTCACTTTGAACAACATTAGAGCAAATATTAGTGCCGAATTGCAGCATGCGACTCAGGCTTCAACACATCGTTTATGGACTCGGGCAGTGATAGCAACTTCTGTGATGATTGTTGTTTATTTTTATTCTCAGCAACATAACAGCAACGAAACAAAATTTGCCTTAATTAAAGAGAAACTGTTATTGCGGATACAGAAATTTGAATGTTCAAAAAGCTACAAAGCGGAGATACGTCGATATCCGAACTGCGTACCAAAGAAGTGTGGTCGCTTTGTCAGTGATCAGCTGGTAGAGGAAGATGAAGTGGATAAGCTCTTAAATCTGGCGCGTACCATATTGTCTATGGCGGGCTCATCTGGAGGTGCTTCCATTTTAAACTTACACACTGGGGCTCTTTCATATAAGGAACAATTCGTTAATGCGTATCGTGTGCCAAAAGTAGTAGCCGAATTAAAAGAGCACCATTTAACGATTTATAATGTAAGTATGTACTATAACTCTTAATACGACATTAACATAATTTTTTAGACTGTCAAAAACAAAATTAAAAAAGCTATAGCCGAGCAATTTGAAATACCTGCTGAAAGTCTTTATCTAACGGATCCCACGTTTTTTTCACGACTAACAAACGCAACCGCTAGAACAATGAATGATGAATATTGGCATGAACATATAGATAAGGCAAGTTAATAAATGTAATTAAAATAAGAAAGTGCCAAGAGGTTTCGTTTTTTTTTTTCAGGATACTTATGAATCTTTTCACTATACGTCTTTACTTTATTTGAACACATATCAAAAAGATTATAAAGGAGGTCGTTTCATTTTCATTGATGGCAGCAATGGAAATCTGACCAAGTCAGCAATTGAACCGAAAAAAGCTCGAGTTAGCGCATTTACTTCGGGTGCTGAAAATTTACATCACGTTGAACAAGTTACCGAAGGAGAAAGGTATTTTTTGGTATTTTTATCTTATAATCACTTACTTAAATACTTTTTCTACTTATATTTTGTATGTCCCAGATATGCTATTACCATTTCATTTACTTGTGATCCCGATCGGGCGATATCCGACCTCCACATAAAGACCCCCAATTTATAAAATTAAAGTATTAAAATAAAAATATTAAGACTAAATAGAAAATGAGAAAGTAGACAATGTTAAAAGTTAGAATTACACATACATATTAACTAGTAAAATGCTCTGGAAACACAAAAATGCGCAACAACTTATACCACCCTAAAAATTATCTACCATAGTTTTGAATTTAAATGAATCCCAATTAATAAAAGTTTAATGGTTGTTATTATTTAATTTACTGTAGAATTTTACAAATAAATCCTAATAGATAATATATTCTTAATCAATTTAGTGTAATTGAAAACTTTTGAATTTGTCGAAATTGTAGAAACCAGCGCGCACTTGACGTCCACCAAAGAAACGTCCATTCAAATCAACTACCGCTGTTAAACAAAAATTTATATTTTAAGTAAATATTTAGTAATAAAGAAGTTACTTAATATAAGATTATGTTTACCTTTAATGGCGCTTTCGATTCGTTTAAATTCGACGAATATTTTCACTGCTTCTTCTGGGGTCGTGCCAAATGCCTCGTGTATTATAACATTTGCTACATCGCCATATTTAGTATTGCATTCGTCTTTAACTTCAGGTTCCAAATCTTCATCAACATCTCCTGGACCGACCATATTCTATAATAAAGAGAGAAATTAAAACTATTTTCTTTAGACTTTGCATAGAAATCACCCGTAACAAAACCACTTTGCTGGGCTCTTTCATGATTTCTGTAATGCTAGGTTCAGGCGGTGGGACTTCAGCAACGGCTTGTGCTAATGTTAGGGAGGGCGTGCTTGGGGCTGGTGTTGCTGGTGGTGCCATGGTTGCAGGTGGACTGTTAGGGGCTATTGGTGGTGGCAAAAACACATCCTTTTCATGTATTATGCGACCACCACGCTTTGAAGTCTTTTCCACCTGCAAGGCCATAGACATACCCTGCTCCTGTTTGCCCAGTCCCTGACCATCTTTAAAGCCGTATTTTGCCATAATTTTTGCAGCAACAGAGCTTGCGGAGTAGGGTATGGTTACGTTTGAAGAGCCATCACCGTTTTCGTTGTTAATAGAAATTTCTTGCAGCGAAGGTGGTGGCGCAATTGCAGCACCGCCTTTACTGGACACAGATCCTTGAGGAGGTGGACTGTAATTCTCTTCTTCAGTTTGACGCTGACCAAAACCGGAAAACTTAACAGGCGGTGATGAATCTCGTGTGCTATTTCGGCCGCGACCACGTTTTCGTTCACTACTTCGTCCACTGCCTGTACCACCACTTCCTTTATGATCTTTCTCTTTATTTTGATTTTTGTCCTTTAATTTTTCATATTCATTCGGCCACGCCGGGTCATATTCATCTACAAAATCCCAGCAATCATCTGATTTTGCATTTTCAATTACTGGCTCCAAAGGTTTGGCAGTAATAACTGGTTTAGGCGTCAATAGAGGTGTTTCTATTTTCGTGTTGCTCAAATGGTTCGCTTCTGCTTCTGCTGCGATTTTCTTTGCTCGCAAGTTGACCACTGGTGTCATCAGCTGCTTGATATTATTACATTTTAATAATATTAAAAATGGACAATATATAGATATGCAAAGTTTACCGGTTTTTTGGGTGGCTCTTTTGGTCCTTGTGCCTTTTTAATGGCCAATTGTGTTTGCAGCATTTTGATACCTGATGACCAGCCGTCAATTTGGCTGGCCCGCGGTTTGGTGTCAATATCATCGTACAAGTCCATTATTATTATTAACTTTATTAATAAATTACATATGACACAAAATCCAATAAGTTAACCGATGAAAATCTACCTCCTATAGACCAAAGTTGACATTTCTGTTTATAGCGTAAAGACAAAAATTTGGTAGCCCGTTCAGAGCATAGTTGCCTTTTTTAAGAAATATAATTTTAAAACGGGAATTTATGCATTTGAAGCGTCATATTATTAGTGTTATTAGAAATAAAATAGCATATTATGTACTGAAAGAAATTATGATATTTGATATTTCGTATATAAATAATTTTATTTGGGTTTTTGTTTAAATTTGAAAATAATCAACTATTGAAATAATTGCTTATACATGCCGTTGTCATGTTAGTATCTAATGCAGTACGATGTTAATATTAAAATAAAATACTAAATCAATATTAAAGTAAAATACTAAATCAATCAATAATATATTTGTTCCCGAGAGATTAACTATCAAAAAATTTCATAAAATACCCAATATTAATTGATGCAGCCCTGTGTACGAAAAAAGGCGAGAATTCGCCATCTTGGAATTTAGACAAAAAGCACTGGAAGAAGAAGAAAAATCGAAACAATTGACAGCGCCACTGAGCAGAAAATCGCGACAAAAATTTAGTTATTTCTTACAATTAGCTACAATTCCGTCATAAAAAACATTTCCAAGAAGACAAAATCGAATTGGCAAACGCGCTAACTGAAAATTGTGTAAAAACAGCTTAAAACTGGAGCAGCAGAAAAAGCGAAAAAAAGTTGAAGAAGCAGCTCTTAAAAGCAGAAAAGAAAAAATTGCGAAGGCGACGAGTAGGAAAAAGTTTCGTTTTCCCTTTTGCGTTGCTCTTGCCGTTGCGTTTTCCGCCAGCCGAAAAGAAATTATCATTTGCAAGTGTTTGGAAATAAACGCATTGCAAACAATATTAAGTTAGCCCACAACGTGCTTATTTTTTAGCCCTAGTATAGTGTGAAACACTTATTAACGGTACTGGATTTTCACTTGTGTTATTGGAACGCCAATCGGAAGAAGGAGAGAACGACGGTATTCACTCGTTTCATATACTGCTGCCAATCAATCTGTCAAAGCCTCCATCCCTTTTAAAGCATCGTACGTGAAGTGATACATTCGTTCATACATTCATAATTATTAATCTTCTTATGGGTACGATTAGCAAACTGCATTAATTGCAGTACTACCGTTGTGGGATCGCTGTAATAGCATCGCAAATAGTAACTTCATTTTCAACATCTTATGCGGTCAATTTCATTCCAAAAGCTCCAGCGAATACAACATTAAAACTGTGGCTAAGAGGTTACAACAAAGTCGGCTTAACCAGTTGTTAATCACATGCGACTTACTCGAAGATAATAATTTAAAAGGAAACAATCATAACATACTTCACATTACTGTGTGTTTCAACTGGGAAGTTTATCAGTAGCTTAACATAATTTGGGTTCTATTGGACTATGTCTGAGCATTTGCATCGTCGAATACAAACACACACATAGCCATGGCTGCGACGAGAAAGTTGCAAGGTGAGCAATCATCACTATCAGTTACGAGGTATTTACATGTAAATATGAGTATCAGCTGATTTTCTTAGCATATCTATTATGGAAAGTCTTGAAATATTACGGTGCATTTTAAGCACACATAAAAAAAGCTAGGTGAAAATTAAACATTATCTTTGTTTCGTATTCACATACGTTCATATTTACTTTTATAGTATTCATTAGTGTTCAAATAACAAATCCTCTCCAATATGATAAAGCGTATATTCTCGTATATTACATTATATGTTGATAATCCCTCAAGCGCAAGAAAAAGCATTTTTTGCTGTTTATTCGTAACAGTTTTATGATAAATGAAATATATAAGTTTTGAAAAATGATTTTAACTGAATATAAGGGTAAAATTAAGAACGGTGAATGATACTAACTTCAAAAATAAAACATAACATAAGACTATGACACTTGCTTAGCATACTCAGTTTCATTGCAATATATTCAAAAATATCTAATACTGAGGAAATTATTCAAACAGTGAATAGCTGTGACTTTTGATTCCTTCGGTGATGCATTATAATGTACATTTCATGTATGAGAAAACTTTTTTGGAATTATGACTTTTGTGGTCCGAACATTGGACATTTGAACAGATTTCCTTAAATAATAGCAATTAATATATGTTAATTTAATTAATATAAGAATTAGTAACTGTGATTAGTAGAGTATTCATAACTTGATTAATATACACATATTTACATACATACATATATGAATGACTTTTTATGATTAGATTATATTTATTTTGTTTATATTTTAAAGCATCGTTTGTTATAATGACATTTTTTGTTTGTTGTCATTTCTTACGTTTTTTTTGTGGTTTTGTTGTCATTCAGTTTGCTAGATGCAGTGAAAAAAAATAATTACCTCTATTTCTCATAAAAGATATTATCAAAGAAATGTTTGTATTATTTCTATGGAAAGTGTGTGTTCTTATCGTCTTTTAAATTGTTGGAAAAATTGGGTCATTGCAATGAATGTGCCATGACATTAATATTACATATGATGGTATACACATACATACATACATTCGTTGAATGAATACTTAGTGCATGCGCACGGATTGAAATGTTATAATTCGCTTAAAATATTGCAAGGGATTTGCCCTATCAGCAGAATATCTAATAATATTTGCCTAATTATTAAAAAAAAAACATAAAATGTTTTACTTATATAAAAAGTTTCAATGAAATATGAGCGAAATTACTTTTCCTTTTGTTTGTAATACAAAAGAATATGTATTGTAACGGACATACATACATATTTTTCCATTAATCAGCAATTGTAGTATATGCAGCAATCAATGCTGCATTTCTGAACAAGTAATTACTCCATTGCGAGCCGATGGACAACTCAAAATAAAGAGACACGTATTCACTGCAAAGTTGATAGCGTTGATACAATTTAACCACCCACTCGCCACCCAACCGACCCCACTTGGCATATAAACAAACGAGTAGTTAGCTACCCGTCTCACGTGCGCACTCGTATATTTTTATTTCTGCTCGTTCAACCCTTGACTCTGGAAGCATACGTGACCAGTGGGCAATGTAAACCGCTACTCTACCACAATAATGTACGCACTGTAATAACGTGCCATATAGAAACTCTTTAAAATATTTTGATTAAATTTTTGTTGAAATAAATTTTGGTTGCTTTAATTTACTAGGCAATACATTTATAGATAACTCATATTACTTAAATTATTATAATTTGTTTTTCAGGTGAAATAGACAGATGTCTGAAAAAAGTTGCAGAAGGGGTGGAAACATTCGAGGATATATGGAAAAAAGTGCATAATGCTACAAACAGTAATCAGAAGGTATGCCGCTTGTAATTATCAATATATGTTTATAATTTCGTAGACCTATCAATTGTTTTACTAACTCAGTTATAAATGAATTTAATTTTACAGTAATCTTTTTTTTTACTGTGTGTTTTTTTTTCGCTTAATAATACTACATTCTTGTTACACGTTTGTAGCTGAGAGAAGATAATAGGTTGTCAAAAAGGCTTGCGATATTTTTTATTTTATAACGGTTTGATGACTCATGCCCAGCTCTTGACCGATGCTACGGCTGTTACTTCGACCTCTACTCTTTCGACCAATTCAGTGATTTTATCGCAATTTTCGACGACAGGCCTTCCGGAGCGTGGCGTATCTTCGATCACCTGTACACCAGAACGAAAACGTTGAAACCATCGTTGTGCGGTGGAAATGGAAACTGTATCGGGTCCATAAACTGCACAAATTTCATTGGCGGCTTGAGATGCATTTTTGCCTTTATCGTAGTAGTACTGTAAAATATGCCGTATTTTCTCTTTATTTTGCTCTATGTTTGCGACGATTTAACTCACGAACGACTTAAAAGAAACGACAAATGAGCTTTCGAAAAAGGTATAGCATGATCCGATGCGACGAATAAAATTAGAACTACGTACTCTCAGCGCCAACTAGCGAATATACCGCAAGACTTTTTTGACAACCAAATATTTCAGATATTAGTTGAATAAACATTTGTAACAGTAATTACAAGTATATAATTTATTTTAAGGAAAAGTATGAAGCAGATCTTAAAAAAGAAATCAAGAAGTTGCAAAGGCTTCGAGATCAAATTAAATCATGGATTGCATCTGGGGAGATTAAAGATAAAAGCCAGCTGCTGGAGAATAGGCGTCTCATTGAAACGGTAAGCATAGTTTTACATATTCATCTAATCAGGGTTGCGAATTATTTGATTAAAAAATTTTAGAGTAAAAATTGGATTTTAAATTTTTAATTCGATTTTGGAAATAAAGATTAAATTTCAAAATCAGGATTCATTCAAATTAAAAACTTTAATGGATTAACGGATAAAAAATATGTTTTACAAAAATATGTTTTATATATTTTTAACTTAAATACTATATATATTTTTTTAATTAAAGAATTTTTTTTATGAAAAATTAAATTTTTAGTTTTTAATTCGATTTCGAGATAAAAAATTAAATTTCATAATCAAAATTCATTCAAATTAAAAGTATAATGCATACGGATAAAACAATCAAATATTTTAATTAATTATAAAATTTTTATAATTTTTTTTATCTTGACATTAGCAAATGGAACGTTTCAAAATTGTAGAACGTGAAACAAAAACGAAAGCGTATTCAAAAGAGGGACTTGGCGCTGCACAAAAAACAGATCCAGCGCAACGTAAGAAAGATGAGGCGCGCAACTGGTTAACATCGTCTATTAGTTCATTGCAATTGCAAATAGACCAATACGAAAGTGAGATTGAATCTTTATTGGCGGCAAAAAAGAAGCGCCTCGACCGCGACAAACAAGATCGAATGGATGAGTTTCGCGCCAAATTGGATCGTAATAAATTCCATGTTATGAAACTGGAAACAGTGTTAAGATTACTGGATAATGACGGTGTTGAAGCAGAACAAGTTAGTAAAAACTATTTGATACAAAAATAAATGCAATTATTATTTTATGCCTTGTGTACATATTCCTCAGGTAAACAAAATTAAGGATGATGTTGAATATTACATTGAATCCTCACAAGAGCCGAATTTCGAAGAGAATGAGTTTCTTTATGATGACATTATTGGCTTGGATGATGTGGAGTTATCTGGCACAGGTAAGTTGTGTGCATGGAGGATTTTTGTGTGAATGATTATACCGTTATATAAAAGCATAGTGTTCGGTATGATGAAATGTGGCGCGATGCAAAGCATGTTTTCGCACATAGAGACGAGCTTTATCGTTGTATGTGCATATGCATTAGGATTTATTATAAATAAATAAATTTTTTAATACATATTTACACTTTGAAAGTTTTTGTGCAGACGTATACTTATACATATATATATGTTTCTGCCTTTATTTTCATATTTTACTCTGAATATCATCCACATCAACGGCTTAATAATAATTATGTTCTCAATGTGATTAAAAACCACAATATCCACAAAAAAAAAAAAAAAAAAAAAATATATATCCCGTAAAATGTGTTGAATGAAAATGATTTGATTTGTTGAACAACAACGTCCATCCATCGGCCATCTAACAACTCACAACAAACACACAAATTATGTTTTGGCAATGCAACCGAATTTGTGCGACAATTTGTGTGCATTTTTATATTACTACAACATATCTAACGAATAACTGTATGTCATATGTTAAATATAATATATTAATAACAATTATCAAATACACAAAAAAAAAAAAAAATGATAATAATAATAATAATAAACCAACGAAATCGATATGATTTCGTTAAACTTGCGCTGTGGATCCTGTGCTACATCAACAACAAATTGTTGTCTGAATGATGTTGAATGAATGACGGCTTTGTGGTGTTGATTGAATTTTGTACTAAAGGTGTTTCACTTGGTATTCCATCATCAGCCACTACCGACAGCAATAACAGCAACGAGACCAGCGGTTCGCCTAGCAGTATAACATCGGGTGGCAGTCCTGTGCAATCGCCAGCGCCAGCAACGGGTACACAACAACAGCAGCAGCAGGTGCAACAACAGTCTGTGGCAACGGCGGCGGCGGCAGCGACAACGACTTTGACGTCTTCAATAAATACGACGGCAGCGGCGGTGACAACGGCGCAGCAACAACAACAGCAGCAAAGTAATAACAGCAACAGCATGAATTACGCAGCGGAAGCGGCCGCGGCGGCGGCAGCAGCCACAGCAACGGCGAACAATAATACAGATGCGACAGCCAGCGATAAAAGGAACAAAAACGAGAGTAATTCTAGTAGCAAAACAAAAGTGAGTATATATGCACAAATTTATATAGTAATTATTTTATTAAACAATCCGTACTGTTCTTTTACTCCTTAGCAACCTGTTAAACCAACGGCAGTGCGTGCAGCTAATAGCACCGGTAAATCTTCTAGCGGTACAACATCAGAAAGTTTGTTTCACTTTAATACTTGCTAATATGTAGTAGTCTGTATTCCAATAATTAATTTCATTTAATTTGTAGCGTCTTCAAATAAAGCAGTTAGTTCGACGCCCAATAAGAATCATAACCAACAACAACAGCAACAGCCTACAGCAGCGGCAATTGTCGCAGCATCTATGGGTGGTCAAGCGGTGCCGACGTCGGTAACCAGCACAGCAAATAGCATAGTTGGCGGTGCGCCTACATTGGCCGCCACCGTTGCCGCCATGGCTGCCGGTCATAGTCCTGCGCTGCAACAACATGCGCCAGCGCCCAGTTTGAATGCGACAAATGCAACGGCAACGGTTGGTGGTGGTGCGACAACGGTTGCAGCCGCAGCGGTGGCTAATAATGGTAGTAGCAACAGTAACAACAACATTCAAGGCCAATCTGTGATTCAAGCGACGCCAACAATTGCATTTGCGGCCGTAGCGAAAAACAACACATGTAAGTGGGAATAATTATACCAATATTTATAATTTGAATAGAGTTAAGTTTGCTGTGCAGTTTGTAACTCCCGGAAGGAAATGTAGGAGACCCTATAAAGTTTATATATAAATGATCAGTGTAATGAGCTGAATAATTTAGTAACGTTCATCTGTCTATATATATGCGAACTAGTTCCAATTTATGAGATATCGATCTGAAATTTTGCACACGTCCTTTTCTCTCCAAGAAACTGCTAATTTGTCGCAAACGCCGATAACGGACTACTATGACATATAGCTCCCATACAAACTGATCGATAAAAAAAAGGTTTTTATAGTAAACTTTTTTAATTTGCAAGACATCTTTACGAAATTCGACATGGACTATTGTCCAACCCAACATTACAATCCCTGAGCAAATTGTTTAGTTCAGACAACTATAGTCCTAAGATGCCATACAAATTGATCAATCAAAATCATGTTCTTGTTTGGAAAACTTTTGTATTTGACTAATATATCTTTCCGGAATTTGGCATGTATTATTCTGCCAGGTAACGGAGCAATCTTCAAAGAAAAATTTTAGATCGAAATACTTTTAAATAAAGCTGCCGTATAAACTGATAGAAAACTTTTCTTAATTCATACGATATCTTTCCGAAATTTGGCATGGGTTAATGCCCAAAGCCACTGTATAAACTCCGAGCAAATAGTTCAGATAGAACAAAAATAGCCTACAGCTGCCATACAAACTGACCGTAGTTAACACTTTTTTTCTTGTTTTTATCTGTCATTTAATAAATATTATTTTAGCACATCTTGAGAACGGACCTGTGCATCCGGCGACATCTTACGCGATGACGGCTCCCACGGTAGCAACCAATTCGCAGCATCAGCAACAACAACAATTATCCAATCTTCAAACGAATTCCTCACATTTACAAAACGGTGTGTTTATCTGAATTTTTACCCATGCGAACATTTTCGAGCAGTTAAATTGTGTTGTTCTTGTCTTGTAGCGCATAATAACACTTCCAATAACAACGCATCAAATAGTTTAGCGAACGCTGTGCAACAAGGAAGCGCAGCCGTTGCCGCAGCCGCTGCCGGCGTTGTGGTGAATAATGTTGGCAGTAATAATTTGGTGAACTGCATTTCTCCAAACGGTATGTCGCAAGTAATAGGAGCACAGCAACAGCAACAACAACAACAGCAAGTTATTGGTGTAACAAATAATGGCTCGCGAGTTTCGCCGGGTCTGCTGTCGCCGAAGCATATGAATGGCATGCCTGTGTCAGCACCCAACATTAATAACAATAATAATAACAACAACAACAATAATTCGATGGATGCGATTTCATTGAAGACAATGGCTCAGGAAGCTATTAATCGGTCGGTAATCGATACCAATTCATTGACGCAAGGGCCCGGACAACAGATTGACAATAGGCAGCAGCAACAACAACAGCAAGCGCCACAATCACAACAGGTCTTACAGCATTTCTCAACCGATACAACTGCCAACCAACAACAGCAACAACAACAATCCGGCGGTTTAGCAGCAGCAGCAGTAGCCTTTGCAGCAGCAGCGGCAGCAACAAATGGACCAGCAACAGCGGGTGCGGGTCCAGTCGGTAGTGCAGTTCAAAGTGGTTTAGGCGGTATGACGAATGCAGCGGTCGGTCAACCGGGCTCTGGTAATAGCGGTGTTAATTCATCAGTTGGTAGCAAGCCACTTCAACAGCAACAACAACAACAGCAGCCCACAAATGAAGCGCATATAACGCCGCTACTTGGCGTAGCACCGCTGGGCACATTACCGCTACATAAAGATCATCAATTACAATTCAAAATGATGGAAGCCGCTTACTATCACCTCCCGACACCAGCCGACTCGGAGAGATTGAATATATATCTGCCGCGAACGCCAGTGCCGACACCACTGCATTATCCTCAGGTGAGTCTTGGGTTTAGATATTAATTTTCATGACATTAAAATTGTTATCTCACAACAGCAACAGCTTCCACTCTACGATACCGTTGAATTTTATCAACGACTCTCAACCGAAACGCTCTTCTTTGTTTTCTATTATATGGAAGGTTCGAAGGCGCAATATTTAGCAGCGAAAGCATTGAAAAAGCAAAGCTGGCGATTTCACACAAAGTACATGATGTGGTTCCAAAGGCATGAGGAACCAAAAATTATTAACGATGATTACGAACAGGTGTGTTACATGTTTTTGTGTGTTTGTAAAATATTTCCATGTAAGTGCCATCTGATCAAACTTGAGCTGGACTGTCAAAAAAATCGCTTTTTAATACAAATTTTCATTATCGCTTTCAAAATTGGTCCTAAGCTGCTACCAGTAAGACAATGTTTAATCAAATTTTCCTAATACTGGTTATAAGCTTCAGTTGCGTAGGCCTTCAGTGCCTTCAGCGAGTGTTGATGTGTTTTGCGTCGGCTCATTTTTCATTCTCTTTAGGTCTTTTAGTACAAATAACAAAAATGTCCTGAGTTAAGTCATAAGAAATGTTGAGGTCTTCTGTTATCTCTCTAGTGCCAACACAATGATTTTCATTTCTTTTTTCTTTAACTTTTTCGATGTAATTTTTTCTATTGTACGGACTGGCTGATGCCTAATCTGTTTTAAATGTCTTAGTCTTGTCATAATTAGGGCTGTGGATGACTTCAGATCTTCATTAAATGTTTTAAGCCACCTAAATTTTTGTGTTGGTGTTAAAAACCACTTCTGCAACATTTTCAACGTTTCCGTAGTCGTAATTCCATTGGAAACAAAAAGCTGCAAACGTGATTAAAGTTTTTTTCAATAGTGAAAATGACCACACAAAATTTTCGCATCGTAAATACACATCTGCTATATTTCGTTTTTATTTAAAAATTTAA